ACCCCCCCCCCCCCCCCTTTGTACCACAGTGGGGGTATGAATTTTCCTGTATCTCTGAGGGTGTTAGGTAATCAAATGGTATACTCTTGAATTTAAGGAATAATTTAACTTGCATTTTGTCCAAATCCTAGTAATTGGACAAAATGCACATGATAATAATTCCTTGATTTCACTTGTCACCATTTGATTACACATACTTATTTCATGCAACAAATCAAATTTTGTGTCAGTAAAGCATGCACTTTTGAGGGCCCTCTATTCTAAGGACTTAACCTACTTTAAATTGGTTGCATTTGGAAGTTGTGGTTGATAGATTTTGATCCATTTTGTTTGTTTCACTTGTTACAATTACCTGATTGAGTACTCATGTTATTGGAAAGCAGAGTAACACTTAATATGTAATTGGCCCCTGATGAGGTTGCGTTGTATTTTCACCAAGTAATTATTTCCTATGACCCTTTTACAGTCATGGGATGCATATTTCCGGCAAGTTCAGAATGGTATGCCACCAGGTCAAGCTTACCATCCGCCACCAATTCTTGGACAGAAGTCTGGAATGGTAGCAACAAGACAAACAGTTCCAAGTGCTGTTGATCAATCAACAATCAACAGTCTGGTGTCTGATCACTTAGCAGTGTACTCATTGATTCGTTGTTATCAGGTAAAGAGATAATGAAATATTATAAAAAATATCACTTTATTCCTCTTCTGAGAGCTATTGTTAAGTTTTATTTTCCGTTACTGTGTTGTAAATAATGTTTCATTCTCTTTAGTTCAAATTTATTAATCAGATGATAAACAACCACTTACCTGTAATCAAAGAAAACAGACACAGTCAAGTTTTGCAATAATTGCAAAACTGGGTTTGTGAGTCTGGTCTTATCTTGCCAAGATTTCTTGAAGTAGCAATGTTTTATGGTTTTGTTTGTTTACATTGTGATTCCAGATCCGAGGCCATCACATGGCTCAGCTAGACCCTCTTGGCATTTTACAGGCAGATCTGTCAGATTCTGTTCCTGCCGACCTTTCTCTTGAGTACTGGAGTCTTGGTAAGTCATTCAGCTCAAGTTGTTGAGCATATTTTCAATCCTTTGTGTCTAAGACAGGTTGTTTAAAATCCTAATATATAATTATCCTTTTGGGTCAAAAGCTGTTTTGCAAGCTTATGTGAGAAAGTGAAATTATTATTTAA